AAATGCGAGAATCGACATCTCAAACGACTCAAGAATAGGGGTAAAAACACGTGTAATCAATGGTCTATCAGGTCCTGGCCCTTCTTGTTTGTGCATTTTTTGTTTGTTTGAGGGAGGTCTGATCGGAAGGAAAAGGACCGAAAGGGGTGGCCACTGGCGAGCCCGGCGGTGGAAAGTGAACTACGAGCAGAGGAAAGCATGGACCACCGACGACAACCTAGCCGGCGTGCGTCGGTGACAAAGTAGCAAGGGAAGGGAAGAACGCCGACGGCTCCGCATTTCGCCGGCAACAACGAGGTCGATGGATGATGCGGTAGAATGGTGGGTTTTCTTTTTATTCGTTCCTTAATAGAGTGTTTGACGATTTCTGAACTTTGGAGTTGTTTTTAGTTAAGTCGATTGGGGAGGGGATTGGTCTGGAACTCAGTTTCAGTTTAATTTGTTTTGGTGATTCGCGCGTTTTGTCTCCGTTTGTCATTATTAATCTGATCATTTTTATTTCACGCAGGGTTGACTCGCACGAAACTACACTACAAATTAATCCCGACTATAGTCTAAGTTTTTAAACTCTAGCTGGGCGTAGTATAGAGCAAGTATTTAAATAACGACTTGGGCCAATCCATGTATTCAATCGCTTAAGTTGTTATCTAGCAAAATGGTTTTGGATTTGAAACTAAGGAAACTACAAACTAAACGAGCAAGAAAAGTAAATAAAGGAAAAGTCTAACTAAGGGAGCTTCAACCGGGAGTTTCTTCCCCCTAACTAGCTACCACGACTCGTTGGATTGAATGGAGTCGTGTGGCGTAGGTGGTTGTTAATCGCAGGGGTGAGCAACTAGTGACCAATTTGTCACGGGATCGATTCACTAGCGATCGATTTGTCACGGGATCGATCCACTCACAAAGTCTAGGGGAACCACTAGGAGTAGCAACTAGTGATCAATTTATCACGGGATGGATTCACTAGAGATCGATTTGGGACGGAATCGGTCCTCTCACTCAGTCACTAGTGGTTGCCTAGGTCTCTCCCTCAAACCAGAGTTTGGCTCAATCACAACAAACCTAGATGCAAACTTGAGTCAAGGGCGATGCTCATCTCTAACCTAGATAGTAGGCACAAAGTTCCCAGGAAAACCTTGCTTGTCAAGCCTACCTAAAAAGGTGTGGTTTTCCCCTAATCTAGGTTAGGCAAGCACACCAGATTTGGAAAGCACAACTAAGTACAATCACCTTGAAAACTCCTCTAATACTCAAATTGATGCAAACCCACACAAAATCATTCAATCTAAGAAAGTAATTAGAAAGTATTAGTTTGGGATCTACAACACCCAAGAGAAAAGAGTGAGATTCTAGAGAGAGAGGGATTACAAATTTGAGCTCAAGATCTTCTTTTTCTAGGCTTGAATCCTCGACTTCAAGATCCAGCCAAGCCTCCAATGATGCTCCTAGATCACTCTAGCACTCTCTCTCTCACCAGAACTCCCATTTGGTGTTTTTGGGCAAACCCACAATAGAAAGAAACTAATTCTTCTCCAAAAACCAGCTCTCCTTTCTCTCTCCCCGCTGATGTCTTCATATTTCCCGTGAACACCTAAACGCGTCCGTGAACTCAACGTTGTCCAAAATTGCATCACTTCAGTCTCCTGGGTTCACGATAAATGGTTCCCAGTTCACAATCTTAGAGATCGTGGACTGCCTTGTTGTCAGTAACCTCTGGAACCTCGCTGGACTGCTTGATGTTCAAGGTTTGAGGCTCCCGTTCATGGTCTTAAGAGATCGTGAACTGCCTTGTCCGACCATGAACTACGGCTTCTTCCTGGATGCCTTCACTTCACTACTACGAGGCAATTTCGGACTTTTCTTCTGAAATTTCGCTTTTTGACTTCCAATTATCCCAAAATTCATCCTCGACCCTTCCACACGTCCTAGGACATGAAATGTATCAAAACAAGCACAACCTAGAGTGAAATATGTCAAGGAACAATGAAATACTAAGCTAAACGAATAAGAAATGAGCGGTAAAATGTGTACATTTGGGCCCGAATCAAGGGTTCGAAAGGAGACTGATTCTGGTAATATCCTCTTGCACTAGGTTGAGTAAGATTAGGGAGTTTAAAAACATCACAATGAGCTCATTAGTTAGCTAGATCACTGTTATTGCTTGTGATCATAGCTTTAAGTTGTGTTTTCAATTCTCACTGGAGTAGTTTAAAATTAGAAGCTATCTCATAATAATCCCCACCATTTATAGCGATTTAGTAATCCAAGAATAAAGCTTTCCACCAATCTGATTATCGTATCTATATTTTGATGTTTTATTAACTAACATTGAAACTGATTTGGATGCTTCGGATGAGCATGGGCCTCGTTTTGGTCATCCATGAATTCTGGATTTCTGTTTGTGGTATTGGTCAGTTTTGGTAACTGATGTTTTGAGGGGTGGTCGAGCTCAAATCTGTCATTTTTTGTTGGTTTTATGGGTGAATTTGGTTTTGGAAATTTGACTGGTATTTGGGGTAAATTTTCTGGGTTTTATGGATGTGATCATTTGATTAGGCTGGTTTCGAAAGGTTTGTTTTGGGGTTAATATGGCAGTTTTGTAAATCTGGGTTGGTTTTGAAACTGTTAGGTAATTGTGGTTGTGGTGATCAAATTAAAACTTTTAATACTTGTTGATTTTAATGTCTAATTATTGGATTGGCTTTGTTTATTAAGAATTTTGAGAATGACTCGTTCTAACTACAACATCCTAATCGACGACCAAGTGTAACCATCGACCGGGTGTAGCATAGGGCAAGCAAGCAATAAGAATTTATCGTACCACAGGGATCTAGGATTACACTACCTCAGGTTTAGGGTCCGTGAACTGCCTTGTCCGACCGTGAACTACGGCTACTTCCTGGACGTCTTCACTTCACTACTACGACGCAATTTCGGACTTTTCTTCGGTTTTGTGCTTTTTGACCTCCAATTATCCCAAAATTTGCCCTCGACCCTTCCGCACGTGCTAGGACCCGAAATGTACCAAAACAAGCACAACCTAGCCTGAAATATGTCGAGGAATGATGAAATACTAAGCTAAACGAATAAGAAATTAGGGGTCAAATGTGTACATTTGGGCCAGAATCACTCCACCACACTTAAACGTTTGCTTGTCCCCAAGCAAAGCATTTTCAAACTAGATAATATTTCAACCTACAAAGATAGCTAGGGACATTTCAAAAGGCACAAGGCTGTGAATCTCAATTGATTATTTGGGCATCGACACTCGAACCGTCTCAAACAATTCCGACATCCACCAGAAACGATATTCAATTGCATAAAAAATGGGCAAATGAAAAATTCTCATTCTATCCACAATCAATTCAAGTCTCAACCGGGCCACTAATCAATCACAACCGACCGTACATAGAATTCAAGTCAAAGGAACATACAACGGAGCAACATAGGTACTCACTGGGATAAATATGAACATGCAAGAACAAGAATGAATCACTCACTCTCGACCAGTGGGGTCAGGACCTTTTGGTGCAAAAGATGTGCCCAATTTTCATCACTCATTCCTACCATCTCACCACCACGGCGGCAACCTCTAAACGCTAGAGTTCACGGGATAGTTGTCGTCACTAGCTCGTCCGGAGGTCTTAGAGGTGGATTCAGATGACTTGCAATTGTCTTGGACATGGGGAAAAGGAATTTTGGGTGGTGGCAAACACAAAATGAGGTTCTACATCTTCAACCTAAACCCGAAGGTTCTATGGTTTCGACTAGGAACCTTCTCTACAAACAACGACCACTAGCATCGGCCAAAAGCCTTACTTCTCCCTTCCAAACGATCACCCACCATGAACTATAATTAAGCGGTCTTCCTCGGTCTTCTCTTGCTATCATATTTCGATTTGGTAGTGAGGGAGTTCTAAAACAATGTGGGGGTTTCAATGGCTTGAGTGCCAAGAAACCCCTCCTAGAGCATACACTTTGGATTCTGTGGCACTCTCTACTTCATGTACCCTGTTTTATTACCTCTTGTTCTATTCCTTTTCTTTTTCCTTTCTTTTCTTTTCAAGGGGGGTACTAGAGAGTAGAACATTTGCCACCTTAACATTTAACAACCAATTCTCTCTTTTTAAGAACTCACTCCAACTTTACACTTCTTTTTTCATTCATAGCAAGAATCGGACATAATCCTCCTGTGTAGAACCTCAATACAACTCAAAAGTGAGAGCTCTGTGATACGAGGATGACTCATGTAAAGACACAAAGAAAGGATGAGGGTCGTTCTATTAACACCATTAAGCTCACAAGCAAGAAGCTCATAACATAAGAACGACCTTCGAAGTCACATGGCTCAAAGGGGTTGACTAAAGGATAACACATTTCAGGACAATCAACATTATGGCGTGGACTAATCCTATGCCTCCATCCTACTCGCTAATGAAAACCGTGATGCTACACACCATGGTGAGAGGGAACTATCACACCAGAAGAAAACGATCGGCTCAAAACTCACAGGCAACCTAGCCGCCCAATCGTCTATTCCACATTCACAAACTCGATGCATGGCGTTTGTAATCGAAGAGTAACCAACTCAAGACATCCAATTTATTTAAGAACACATGAGAACTAAGCCTTTTCACAATCCTATGCACTCCCAATCATCTTAATAGGATGCACTCGACTTTATGCAACAATTAAAGAATGATACCAAATAAGCACGAGATTCATCATCCAACCGACCATTTTGAACAAGCATTGCTTAGAGCCCTCAAAATTTTTCAAATTTGGGCATACATCAAGGCTCCAAGCATTCAAAATCACACCAAACATTCACACACACATGCATAATTGATTACCCCCCCCCCCACACACACACACACTTAAGCTCGACATTGCCCTCAATGGCGTAAAATAGGGAAGTAGAATGATGTTACCGGATAGTGGTGAATTTTGGTGTGCGGCAGCAGAGGGCGGGTGAGATCGGGAAGAGCAAGGTAGCGGCAAAACAAAGGGTTAACTTATTGAAGCCAAAAGGAAACACATCGTTGATGGTTGGGTTGCCTCCCACCAAGCCCTTCTTTAACGTCGTGAGCCGGACGATTGCTCTTCAAGGTTAGGAAACACATCGTTGAGGGCTCAAGAACATGAGTGGCTTTGAGGCTCCACACACGAGACCTCTTCTTCTTTCATTCTTCTCTTTTCCCCACACCATACAGTGCATCATCGATTTACCACCATCGCATCCACCAAGAGGGATCGCCGATGGTTTGGCCTTGGCTTGTCAAAGAGCCACAAATGGGTCCTTCTCCAAAAGCGCATCGAGGTCAGGTGGAAAGCTTTCATAGCCCTCGTAACTTGTGGATGCTTCATCCACCTCGAGCCCATCCTCATCCTGGATGCCACTTGCTCCTTATACTTTATCTTAAACCTCCCTTCCTTCTTCTTCAATGTGTTCCTCCCCTTGGGAACACTCGAGATCTTCCCCCTCTTCAATGCTTTCTTCCTCCTCTTCGGCCTCTTATTTCTCCTTCCCTTTCATTTTCTCTTGCTCCTCCTCACTCGTGTCTTGGTCTTCAAAGTTGCTTTCGGGAAGTGTAAAGTGATGGGAGTCATCAATGCAACGTTCTTGTTCATCCTCACCACAGGAGCTCTCCGAACTGAGTTCTTCTTGCTCCACACGGTTGTCATTGCTCGCCCTTTCGACCTCCTCGTTCTCCTCCAATAATGAGAGGCGATAGCTTTCACAAGCTTGTGCCACTTTCTCTTCTAATGTCAAACCAGGAGGAGGGAGGGGGTAGAAATCCATGCCGGAGCTCGTTCTTCCAAGGGTCTCATGGCTTGCCACTTCAACCTCCTCTTTCTCTTCAAATGGCGGGAGGCAACTATGAGCAAGTTGTGCACATGCTTGCTCAATAAGCTCTTCTTGCCTCTTTGTGCGTCGAAGGAGCTCCTCCACCCCCGAATTGGAGCATCCTTCGTTGGTACCCCAGGCTATTTGCTCCACAATGAGATCCCAGTTTCTCTTTTGCTCCATTTGTTGAGTGGCACATGGTCTTGATAATTGTCCCACGAAGGCTTCCATGGCCAACTCCAACTTCGATTCTCCTCGGGTTGTGGAGGGAAATCTTCTTGATATGGGGAAGCCTCTTCATACCCCTAATGGTATGGTTGTTCGTCTTGGAAGGGGGGTTTGTAATAGAACCCAGAACCTAGTCTTCCCCCATTTTGATCATCCCATGAAGCTCCGGGGTACCTCAATTCGTGTGGTTGTGGATACCACCACAAATTGTAGAAGCCGTTGGGATCCATGGTTCATAACCTACAAAAAAAAAACAAAAAAAAAAAAATTAAACAAACACAAACCACCCTTCAAGACGAAGAGTGGGTAAACAAAACTCAACACAAAACACAAACAAAATGGCAAGATAGAAAATGATAGATTAACACTAAGCGACCTTTTCAAAATAATGTACCGGGTTCCCCGGCAACGGCGCCAAAAACTTGACTCTCGCGAAACTACACTACAAATTAATCCCGACTAGAGTCCAAGTTTTTAAACTCTAGCCGGGTGCAGTATAGAGCAAGTAGTTAAATATCGACTGGGGCAGATACATGTACCCCTACTTCAATCGCTTAAGTTGTTATGTAGCAAAAAGGTTTTGGGTTTGAAACTAAGAAAACTACAAAATAAACGAGCAAGGAAAAGTAAATAAAGGAAAAGTCTAACTAATGGAGCTTCACCCGGGAGTTGCTTCCCCCTAACTAGCAACCACGACTTGCTGGATTGAATGGAGTCGTGTGGTGTAAGCGGTTGTGAACCGTGGGGGTGAGCAACTAGTGCCCGATTTGTCATGGGATCAATTCACTAACGATCGATTTGTCACGGAATCGATCCACTCACAAGTCTAGGGGAACCACACGAAGGAGCAACTAGTGATCCATTTGTCACGGGATGGATTAAATATAGATCAATTTGTCACGGGATCGATCCTCTCACTCAGTCACTAGTGGTTTCCTAGGTCTCTCCCTCAAACCGAAGTTTGAGCGGCTTAATCACAACCAACCTAGATGCAAACTTGAGTCAAGGGTGATGCTCATCTCTAACCTAGATAGTAGGCACAAAGTTCCCAGGAAAACCTAGCTTGTCAAGTCTACCTAAAAAGGTGTGGTTTTCCCCTAATCTAGGTTAGGAAAGAACACAAGATTTAGAGACCGTGAACTGCCTTGTCGTCAGTAACCTTTGGAACCTTGCTGGACTGCTCGATGTTCACGGTTTGTGGCTCCCGTTCACGGTCTTAGGAGACTATGAACTGCCTTGTTCATCCATGAACTACGACTGCTTCCTGGAGGCCTTCACTTCACTACTACAAGGCAATTTTGAACATTTCTTTGGTTTTTCCGCTTTTTGACCTTCAATTATCCCCAAATTTGTCCTCGACCCTTCCACACGTGTTAGGACCTGAAATGTATCAAAACAAACACAACCTAGCATGAAATATGTTGAGGAGAGATGAAATACTAAGCTAAACAAATAAGAAATGAGGGGTAAAATGTGTACATTTGGGCCCAAATCAAGGGTTCGAAAGGAGACTGATTATGGTAATATCCTCTTGCACTAGGTTGAGTAAGATTAGGGAGTTTAAAAACATCACAAGGAGCTCATTAGTTAGCTAGATCACTGCTATTGCTTGTGATCATAGCCTTAAGTTGTGTTTTCAATTCTCACTAGCTAGTCCGGTTGCCAACTCATACGTATGAGAGACCTTTCAAGCTTTCCTTAAACTTAAACTTATCATGGAAGGCTCTTCTTCCACGATTCTCAAGAGCATAAATGCTGCTCATCTTAAAAATCTCAAGAGCATAACTGTTGCTCAACTTAAATATCTCTAGAGCATAACTGCTGCTCTATCTCAAAGATCTCAAACGAAAACGGACTGGCGCTAGTTACTAAAAACACTTAAAACGATTTCACTTTCTTGAAGGTGAGTTACTTCTTAAAAATAAAACATGTTCCTAAACTTCAAATTACTTGTAAATAAAGCATGCACTATAATATGTATAACTAGAAGCATAAATCACACGCAATCACATGCATCATATAAACACACAAAGACAAGTATGGCATATAGCAATCAATCACAACAACTGAAATATCGTAAGGCGTAGAATTTACCCCCTTTACACCCACCTTATGTGCATATCCTAAGCGCGATGTAAAGCTGTTGGATCTTGATCTCATTATCCTTGCTGTACTGGCAACTCCATCTCCCTTTGCTTACCCCAAGTAGGGTTCCTCTGCCCACCAATTAATCTCATTTAAAGAACAACTTACTCAACCTTGATCACTTCATCAAAGAAATACGTACCGTGGACCCAATAAACAATGACTTCCCTAATTGTCATGCATTTCTTGGACTTCCATGCATAACGCCAATAGCAGAGACCTCCTTGTTAGCCACCAATTAAGACCAGCCATAAGAAGCATTGGTAAAAAAGAAAAAGGGAAAGGGGGGGGGGGGGGGGGGGGGAAGCCTACAATAGTGGAGGATAAAAAGGCTAAGAAGGAAAAGAAGGCTATTGGGGGAGGGTTTACCCTTCAGGAAACAGTGTGTTTTGGCGGAAGAAGATAGATGGGCCGCGCAGATTGAATTTAAATGGTTTTTTTTGTATGTTTTAGGCCAACGGCCACATTCTACAACCGCCATATTTCCAACGGCTATTTTTCCAACGGTCATATTTCCAACGAGCGAGAAATCATGCTTCAGGATCTTTCTCAATTGGATCCTCAACAAAGAGCATGGTACCAATTTCAAAGAGATCAAATTATGTTTGCGTACCAATCATCACCAGCTTCTAAACCACCTGAAGGATCTTCCAGTAACCCATTTGATGACACTTACACCCCGAACCAGTAGTCTCTAAGAGGTTGTTTGGTTTATTGTTGATGTATGTTTTATTTTTAGTGTGTTTGATTTAAATACTTTCAATTTATCCATGATGAATGTTTTATTTTTAGTGTGTTTGATTTATGTACTTTCAATTTACCCCCGATGTATCTTTTATTTTCAATTTATCCTTTTTTTATGTTTTTGTTCAATATTTAACTGACTCGCTATGACACAAGTCCTAACAATGGCCAAGTGTAACTAATGAAAGGGACTACATTATAGTAGCTCAAGTAATAAATATCGAATCCACGGGTCTCTAGAGTTACTATTACTCAGCTTCAGTTCACTATCTAGCAAACCAGATTAAGATGGAAGAACTAAAACTACTCTAACAAACTATAGTTAAAGTTACTGGAATTACAGGTTGGGAACTCACTTAGGTATGATTCCCCCTAGCCACTAGCAGATTAATGATTGATGATCTCTAACCGATTTCACATTCATTCACAATGTGGAGAATCCTTGACTAGACCTTGTGTCTCTACTAAAGGAACAAGGCGCTCTTGAGTCGATTGCCTAGAGCGATGTATCCTTCTCTAGAACAACCGATCAAGGCGTTCTAAACTAGAATCCCTCTATCGAATGAGGTTCTCAATCGATAAAAAGCATTGAATCAACCCTCGACTAAAACAATCGATCCAATACTATCAATCTATGGTGCTCTATTGACCTAATCAGGTATTTGCTCTCATAGGATCAAAGCATAATCAATAATCTCGACTAAAGCAGAATTAAATCATGCAAACATGCATAGATTGAATATGAACTCAAGATTATCAAGTAAGAGTATTCATACAATCATCCAATCAAACAAACATAGCTAGGGTTCCTCAAAACCTAAGTGAAGGGAAGGTACTCCATAGAGAAGAGAGAGACTGCTGTAAGAATCTTCAGATGATCAGTCTTCAAGTACGGGCTTTCCTCGAGCTTCCAAGGCGAAGAAATCCTCCAATTCCACTCCAAGAATGCCCTGAAATCGTCCTCTCTCTCTTTGGTTCGTCCCTTGGGTGTTTGGGATCCAAAACCCAGCTCCCCCTATCCTTTGGCTCGAAATTGGGTTAAAAACCCTGAATTTCCCGACCACACGGCCAGGCCACACGGCCGTGTGGATTCCCAGTTTGCCCGTGTGAGAATGGAAACGCCGCATTTTGATTAGTGGACTTCAGGCACGCTGCACGACCAGAAGCACACGGCCGTGTGGATTTCCAGTCTGGCCGTGTGAGCTCCCAGGACTTTCCACACGACCACAATGGGTCCCCTAAACGGACAGTGTGGCTTGCCCGTGCAAAGTGGTGCCACATGGCTAAGTCACACGGCCGTGTGAGTTCCTCATCTTCTCGCCAAACGTCCAATCTTCGTCCAATCGACCCGAACTTGTTCCTAAACCTTCATTCGCGTACTAGGACCTGAAATATCACAAACAAGAACAACCTAGCGTGAAATCGTCCTAAAACACGAGAATTAAGAATCAAATGGTACAAGAATAGTGGACAAAAACATGTGTATATATCAAGTCATCATTAACGCAACAACTTTCTTTATTAAGACACTAGAAAATGGAGAATACATTGATAACCAAATGGAAAATCCAATGATAACAAAATGGAGAATACATTGATAACAAAGCACAACAAAAAGAAATAAAGTAAATTCAGCACACAATACAAATTTAAGTAATTAAAGTGCACAATTTAAATTTAGAGCCCTGCCATATTTCTACTCCCTTCCTCCTGCTCTTGTCCACAAATGCTCAACCAAATCCACTTTCAGCGCATGATGCCCTTCACGGTTACGAATCCTATTATGCCTTATCATATACTCCATGAGAGTCGAAGTGTCATGATCCGGTGGATCCAATGTGATATCTGGATTAGTCTCATATTCAAAGGCCTCCACATGTTCTTCTCCAAACTCATTTCTTTGGTCTTCAAATGTCATATTGTGTAGAATAACGCAAGTTAGAATAATCTCTCCCAATTTTTGTACATCCCAATATCGACCCGGAGCTCTAACAATGGCCCATCTTTCTTGTAGAATGCCGAAAGCTCTCTCAACATCCTTGCAGTATGACTCTTGCCATTTTGCAAACAGTTTCTTCTTCTAGTTACTAGGGTTGCTAATGGTTTTCACAAATGTTGACCATTTAGGATAAATTCCGTCAGCCAAGTAGTAACATTGATCGTAAATTTTACCATTTACTATATAGCTTACTTTTGGAAGATTTCCTCTGACGAGTTCATCGAACAGTGGGAGATTCCAAGCGTGCTTATGTCATTGTTTGATCCGGGACTTTCGAAGAAGGCATGCCGAATCCATGTGTCACGTGATGCTACAGCTTCCAGGACAATTGTTGGCTTCCCCTTGTATCCAGTAAATTGTCCTTGCCACGCCATTGGACAATTTTTCCACTCCCAATGCATGCAGCGATTGAACCAATCATACCCGGAAAGCCACGTTGATTGCTGTGATGAAGAAGGCGCGAAGATCCTCCATATTTGGTGATCGTAAGTACTCAGGACCATAGATGCAGATAATGGCATTACAAAATTTACGCATACACTGCAGTACAGTGGTCTCACCCATATCAAATGTCTCTTCTAGGGAGTCGGCTGAGCATCCATTTGAAAGAATCCAGAGGGAAGTAGTAAGCTTTTGTTCGGGGGAGAATGATAGGCGACCCGCAGCATCTCGACCTTGCTGGAAGTAGGGGTCGTGTTGAACAACGACACTCATGACTCGGTTGAACAAGGAAAGGGGAATCTGAAATCTCCTTCTAAAGAACCTAGCGTCGTAGGTTGGATTGGGAACGAAATACTGCTGCATCAAGCGTTGGTTTGCTTCTACCCTGTTACGCCTCACAACTTTACGTGAATGTGAACAATGTCGAGATGAGGATGCTTGCTCTTGGAACATGAAGGCTCCTGCCATCGCCATCATCTGATGACGATCACGGTCAAGCTAACACTCATACTCCCTTTGCCTAGCATCATCATCCGATTGCTGCCTCTCATCAGCTTCTCTATTGGGGGAACTCATGATGGAAAAAAAAAGTTTGTGTGTGTTGAGAGAAATATGAAGTTGAGAGAATGAAGAAGGTTGAATGGTGGGATGAATGGATTGAAAAAGTTTAGCCTTCAGTTATAGAAACACGAAAAGATTCTCCAACAATAATATGACAACTAGATGAACAGTTGATGACACCACTGAATATGATTAAAGCTGGATGAATAGTTGATGGCACTACTCAATATGATTAAAGCTGGATAAACAGTTGATGGCACCACTCAATATGATTAAAGCTGGATGGACAGTTGATTTTACTACTCAATATGATTAAAGCTAGTCAAAAAATTGATGGAACTGCTCATTTTGTGAAACATGTGATGAGTTATAGTATTCTGAAAATGATTGAGATTCGTCATTGATAATTCATTTTTAATTAGCGATTAAAAATATTATGTCAAAATTAAAAAAAAATTATATCGAAATGTTCGTTTTAATTAATTAATACTACCTGTATAAAAATAATAAGTAAATTATCAAAATAAAGTTACCATATCAACTCTAGATTGATTTTGAAGAAAAAACCCCTCCCCATTACCCTTTTTTCTCTCCCACCTATTGTGACCAAATTCTTTCCTCCACCCTTTTCCCCTTTTTTCCCACCCTTTTCATCCTTTTTTCCCTTCCACCATTGTGGATGGTCTAATCTCACGTCCCATCTCCTCCAGCATCAAAACATGTCATTTTAATAATGCTCTCTCTCAACACACTGATGCCTAAATATTCCTAGACAAATAATTCTCCCATCCCCATATATTTCATATATCTCTAATCTGATTGTTCAATCACTTCCACGTAGAACTAATTCCATGTCCACTTGTCATTTAAATTTCACCCAAATCAAAGCCTACCTACCAAACCACATATCTACGTCTTCCAAAAATCACCAACGCTCTATAGATTGAATCTAAAGAATACGGGAAAAATTCAACTTTGTACCTTGTCTTAACCACCTATATCCAGTGATAGACCGTTAATTACACATGTTTTCACCCCTGTTCTTACACCGTTTGAGATGTGGTTTCTCGTGTTTTAGACCGATTTCACGCTAGGTTGTGCTTGTTTGTGATATTTCAGGTCCTGGCAAGTGAATGAAGGTTTAGGAGCGAGTTCGGGGTCGATTGGGCGAAGATCGGGCACGAGGCAAGTCACAAAGGAAGTCGCACGGGCACACCCACAACCCGCACGGCCGTGCAAGTGACCAGTTTGGCCGTGTGGGATTGTGCGAGAGCAAACACGGGCAGAGCAGAAAATCCACACGGCCGTGCAAGCGACCAGTTTGGCCGTGAGGAATTCTGCGAGGCTTCACACGACCAACTGGGTGAGCTACACGGCCGTGTGACCCTGGCCGTGTAAGAAGCCGGGAATTCAACTAATTGATACGCTGCGTTTTGACTCGCACGGGCAACTGGGTGAGCCACACGGCCGTGCAGCCTGCCCGTGTGAGTCGGGATTTTCTGGTTTTAAGCCAATTTCCAGCCACAAGTCGAGGGGATTCGAGTTTTAGAGAGATAGAACGATTCCTAGAGAGAGAAAGCGACGAACAAGAGTCTCCAAGTGCCCTAGCTTGATCTTCAACACCATTGGATGCCAGTCTGAGCTTGGAGAAGTGCCGATCAACATCCAGGAGCAGGAATCCTTCCTTCACAGTATGAATTCCGCGTCTGATTCTGCTTTTGCTTCTTTCTCCATGGAGTAGTTTTCCCATTCATCTAGGTATGGAGAACCCTAGATTTGTATGTTAGGTTTGATTGTATGAACCCAAGTACTGAATCTATGATTTGATTATGTTCAATTGAGGTTTGAATGATTGAATGACTTGAATCCTGATCAAATTCCTGTTGTTTCTGTTTTAACCTAGAATGAGAATATCTGCCTAGGTTAATAGAGCATCCTTGATTGAAGGTAGGGAGTTGGTGACTTTAGTCCAGGAGCCAACTCACTATTCTGTACCGGATTTACTCTGGTAGTGGAGGTTTTGTTTGTTAAGGCCTCAATCTGTTTACTCCGGTGGAGGTTAGTCGCCCACTAGAGACTCAGATTGAGAGGGTCTGAAGACCTTTAGTCGAGACTTCAGGCTGTTTAAGAACCTTCCGCAGTATAACTATCATAGAAACTGAACTTGGTAATTACAATCCGGCTTAACTGCAGTCTAGGGGGAACCATATCCGGGTGACCTCTCTTAACCTGAATACAACAGTTTACTTGCTTTGTTAGTTTGTTAGTTTAAACCTGCATTAAATTTTCATTGCTAGATAACAAGAATTCACCGAGTAGTCATCAAATCTAGGACCCGGGTTGATAATTAAACCCAAACCCGCTATACTACGCTTTAGGAAGTGGTTTCACTTGGCCAATTCCTGGAGTGACAGTAGAAGTGAGTCAAGTTTTTGGCGCTGTTGCCGGGGACGGCTAGGTTGTTGAAGAAAAGTAATTTCCGTTAATTTAGCTTTTCTTTTTGCTTTGTTTGCTTTGTCCCACTTGTGCCTTCACGGGTTTGCTTGCTTGAGTGTGTGCAGGTAGTGCATGACCCGTAGCCAGTCGGGAGGTTTACTGCCAATGAATCCAGAGATTGAACGCACCTGTCGCCAGCTCAGGAGACAACAGCGAGCTAGACTGGCTACGGAAGAGCGCATAGACGGCCACCTGAGTAGCGATTCTGAAGAAGAGTACAGGATGGATGGAGAGTACAAACAACACCAGGGGAATCCTCAGCAGGCTCCCCCGGTGAATCAGGTCCTGGGGAACAACCCCATACCCCAGGATCATGGGGTTCATCATCATCCACTGCCGCCGGGTCCCACCTTGGAGTACTACTACACTCCTCGGATTGCTGACATCCGCCCGGTCATCCTCTACCCGCCTATTCCAGCAAACAACTTCGAGATCAAGCCATGCTGGATTCAACTCATTACATCCTCTATCCAGTTACATGGCTTGAATGATGAGGAGGCCAGGGTACATCTTTCCCGTTTTCTGCAGCTGACGAACGGGTTCAAACTGAATGGTGTCCCTGATGATGCAATCCGCCTTCATCTCTTCCCCCATTCTCTGGCGGGGAATGCTAAGAGGTGGTTGGAGACCCAGCCCCCATTGTCCATCACCTCTTGGGACGATCTGGCTGACAAATTCATGCACAGGTACTATCCGGCATCGAAGACTACAGAGATCCAGCGGGAGATCGCCCACTTCCACCAAGAGCCAGATGAGTCACTCCGTGATGCATGGGAGCGGTACATGGGATATTTCTGACAGTGTCCCCATCATGGCTTTAGTGATGCATTCACAGTGGGGAACTTCTACAGTGCTCTCTCTCCATATAGCCAGAGGGTGATTGAGTCTCTATGCCCAGGAGGGGATATTCTTACTAAGACTCCACCCGAGCTGAACCAGATGATCAATACCTTGGCTGCCAGAGATCATTCTTGGGGACAGAGCAGCAGAGGCAGACAGTCCCGGGATCTTGGTGTGCACGCCATGGAGACCAGATCCGGGCTCAAGCAGTAGGTAGCTGAGTTAGTGCAGACATTGAAGCAGCCCAACAGTCTTATTCCGGGCAGAGGTTTGGCTACACCTCCAGTAGCTTAATGTCAGTGGTGTGAGAGCTCGAATCACTTAGTGGAAGACTGCCAGGCTATGAGGGAGTCTACTACTCCCCAAGAGCAGTTGGACTTCATCGCCAATGCTCGGCGCCTCGACCTGTACAGCAATACATATAATGAGGGGTGGCGCCAGCATCCCAACTTCTCTTGGGGCAGCAACACCACTAAGCCACCTGGTTTCCCAACACCAGCTGGTGGCTTTTAGCAGAGGCAGCCCTTCCAGGCTCGACAGGGGCCAGCCCCACAGCAGCAGCCCTACCAGCCTAGGCTGGGGCAACCATTTCAGCAGCCCCAACGCCAGTTTGTCGAGCCAGCAGCAGCCCCTGCCCCAGATGACCGGATGACAAAGCTGGAAAATATTCTAGCTTCATTCATGACTAGCACTCAGGTTGCTATCACGTCACTGGAGGCAGGTCAGCGGAACCAGGGTGCCATTTTGCAAGATCTGCAGACCCAGGTGGGCATCTTGGCCCTCCAAAACACTACCAGGGCACCAGGGACTCTGCCTGCCACCACTATCCCGAATCCTCGGGATCCTCACCAGCTCCAGCAGCTGGATGCCATTTTTACCAGGAGCGGTAAGACCATATCTGCTGATCCTGTCCCGGCCAGACAGGAGGAACCACTACTTGCTTCAGCACTTCCAGCCGACGATGCAGAAGTGCGGGTGGAGAAGGAAGCCCCTGCTCCCAAGCCACAACCAGTGGTTAAGGAGCATGTACCCCAGCTTCCCTTCCCCACTCGCCTACACAAAGACAAGTTGGAGACTGAGTTTGCCAAGTTTATGGCAATGTTGAAGCAGCTCAACATCAGCATACCGTTCGTGGAGGCACTATCAAAGATGCCCAAGTATGCCAAGTTCATGAAAGACCTCCTCACCAACAAGAAGAAACTTGGGGATCTATCGACAGTGTTGCTGAGCGAGGAGTGTTCTGCTATCCTTCAGAACAAGCTGCCCGAAAAGCGCAAGGATCCATGAAGTTTTACTATCCCTCTTACTATTGGTAGCATGCATGTAGGAAAGTCCTTGGCGGACCTAGGCGCTAGCATATATGTCATGCCATATAAGTTGTACAAAAAGCTAGACCTAGGTGAACTTAGCCCTACTAGGATGAGCATTCAGCTAGCTGATCGTTCCATTGTGCATCCTAGGGGGATCATAGAGGATTTGCATGTTAATGTAGGTGCATTCACATATCCTGTTGATTTTGTTATTCTTGATATACATGAGGATGTGGATGTGCCATTGATTCTGGGGAGACCATTTCTTGCCACCGCCAAGGCACTTATTGATGTGCATGATGGTAAACTGATCTTGCGTGCTGGGAATGAACAGGCTACTTTTTCTGTGACTGAATTTGATCACTGTGCTATGATTGCAGTCACACCTGTGCATGCCATTTCTGATCAGGTACACGAGCCTGTCGTGTATCCTTCTGCTCCTCTCATTTTGCAGGACCCTCCTATCATTCCTTCGCCGCCACTCCATCCAGTCTCGCCTCCGAACAAAAAGCTCAAGGAGGAGTGGCGGCCGAAGCAGCAGGTTGCTAAGCCTGCTCGGAAGAAGAATGGAGACCACTATGAGCTGGTCCCACCTTCTGCACCACGACCACCCTCGCCGTCCGGGTATTCACTCGCCTGCATCTTGCCGGATGGCCAGGTCGAGCTGACCGATGATGGTGGTCGCATCCGTCGGGTGCAAGGTCACAACCTGAAGCTGTACCTCAAGAGCGACGTGGATCCGCTCTTGGAGGCACCTGTTCCTGCACCTCCCTGAGTATCCACCATGGGCGTCCAGCTAAAAGACGGTAAAGAAGCGCTTGTGGGG